AGAGAGGGACCGAAGGGGCGCGGCCAGCTGCCAGAAGGGCCACGGAGGAGCGGCCGAGGCGCCGCGCCAGCAGCCCGAAGGCCACACCGAGAGACGGAAAGACGAGTCCTGCAACAGCACCGAGATGCAGGCAGACGGAGGTGGCGCTTGCTGGTGTTGGTTCTTCCCTTTGCTGCAGAGGAAGAGGTGATGGCTCCGCCAGGCAGCCGTCGCTTCGCCTTGTCCTCATCACAAAGCCACAGGAGAGGGCAGTGCTCGAGTCCGAGGAGTTCACCCGACACCGGGCCACGCTCTCGGGTGGCACACGGCTCGGTAGCTTGACGGGACAGGACAGCAGGGCAGAAGGCCAACACTGGGAAGCAGCTGAAGAGGATGTCATGAAACACAGAGCTGAGACGTAGAGTTACCGCTTCACCATCACCACCTTCCTCACTCGTTCCTGCCTTCTAAACACTTGTTTTATTCTTCCTGAACCCTCGGACAAGCGGAATAAACATCCTTAAGCACCGGAGAGGCGGCTGCTGCTGCTGCTTTGCTGCAGCAAGAGACATTGAAAATCCTAAGGAAAATACACAAAGGAAGACACTTCCTACCAAAAAGGGAGGACAGGGTCAGCAGTACCCAGTCCATACGACAAGAGATGACCTTCCTTCACAAGGTGCAATATGTATTCCTCAGTCAATCACGAAAATAGCTGTCCAGGAAGCTTGCTTGCATGGATCCAAAGCACTCGCCTCAAAAATGTGAAAAACAGGTCCTGGTCCTAAGAGGACAAATACTGGAACGATATAACATGAGTTTGTGGGTTTGGTCCCTTTTTTTTGTTATAGCAGAACACAGTATGATCCCAACTCTTTTCTCTTTCCAACTCAGCACACGACCTGAGAGAAGCTGTCTGCACAGATACCTTTCCCCTTGCTCAAACTTTAACCGACACTGAAAGGATCTCCCTTGTGTTCAGCACCCGGCTAGGACAGACCATCCCCCTGGCAAGGACGAGATCCCACTGGAGCATCTTCCTAGCTCACTGGCATGAGTAGCTTTGACCCATCATTAAAGCATCAGAGCACACAATCCAGAAGAAAGATGCTCTGTTAAACCATGTTTACCGAAGACATCACCCCTGCCACAAACAGAAGACACTTCATAGAAAGCATCTAAGAGAAAAGGAACCTTAGGGAAGCGGCCAAAGTGGGGATGGGAGTTTGGAAATCCCTGACTTTTTGGATTACAATCAACTTTTTCAGTGCTGGGTTGCCCTCTTGTAAAGACCTTTTTTCTGTAGCACGCTTTTTGGGCAAAGACCTTCTAATTTGGCAAAGCAAACAAATCCAGCTAGAAACTGAGGGGTGCTAGTGCTGCCTGCAAATCTTATTCTACTTTTTGTATTGCTGAATAGCTGATACATTCACCAATGGGAAAGCAACTGCTTCCAATGCTTTTTTCTCATCACTACTGGCAGAGATAATGACTAAAGACAGGAATCCACTTTCCTATACGCATCAAATGCCTCATGTACATTTGGCAGAGTGCTTTCCTGCTCTCAGTCACGTTCTGCAAAGCAGCGGCTAGATGGCACCCACACCCCTACAAATACCCCGACCGTGCAGAGCTGCACACTGATGGCTACAAGCAGCTCTCACAGTGATTTCTGCTGCTCACTCTGGCAACAATCTATCTTCCTTTTAGGAACCTTTACGCAGACATAGAAAAGATGGGAATCATCATACTCATAAGAAAAGCAAGAGGTTGCTTCATACAGAAAATGAGATATAAGTAACATTTAAAGGCACCTGGATTTATACTACATACAAATTCAGCTCAATATGCTATAACTTCCCAGGGAATAACTAGCAGGCTCTTCAGACACTATCCTGAGCATCTCAGAACACTTCAGGATGAAAAACACACTTCCAGGCAGTTCTGCCTTGTCACAAGTAACTACGTGTTCTTCCACCAAAACAAATGTTTCCCACCTCACCAGCACGGCATGAGGCCTTCTGAAGACAATCACTGCAAGAGGCATCTCAAGCTCCACCTTACAAGCAGCTTTAACTAATTCTGAAGTAACTAGGCAAGATTGCCAAAGTGCCTTTGGAGATGCTGGAGGGGATTGATGGTAGCAGAACTGTTCATCATCTTTCAACCACGCAGACCTTGTCGCTCCGCATTCCCAAGACATTTGTTGTGGTTGCTCATGATTAATGCTGCACCTAGAACAGGTCATTTGTTGTGGTTAATCATAATTAAATATCTTCCCAAGAGCTGGAGATTCTTTCATGGCTGCCACCCCACACACTCTCACTGCTTACCCTGATGCCAGCTGATCTTCTACGCAAAAGTTAACATCATTAATCTGCGAGGTAAAGGCAGTGGTTTCCCATTGCTGTCTACGCATTAACAGGCTCCAGGCTGTGATGCCCACCCCACTTAATCCTACTGAAACATACACTATGCTGAATCTTACTTAACGCAACAGGTAACCAACTGTATCCACCAAGGAGTTAGATTTCAACTGTCTCAAGGAACAAATGGAACTAATACTACCAAACATCTCTAGTCTAGATGTAACCTAATTCCCACGTACAAGAGACACGACTGACCAGCCCAGCTGGGGACAGGAAAATGCCAGTCTTGAGAGCCAGCAAAATAGACACAAAAGGGTTTTGTTAGCTGAGATTTTGCATGGTCAGGAGCTGGGCTCCAGCATGGCTGCTGGGAAGACATGGGTCTCCTCTTCCCACCGGATGATGCTATTTCTTATCGCCAGATCCAAACGCAGCTGTGAAATACACCCTCTGCTCTGGCAGTAACTAACTCAGCAGAACTTCCTAAACCATAAATAAGCAGCTAAGTAGGCAAAGCAGTAATGGGAACTCAAACAATTCAAAAGGAAATCATATAAATTCTCACTTTGTAAGACTCCCACTCCGTAACACTGAGAGATCTGACCCAGGAAGCTTTTAGCTACTAATACCTCAACTGAAACAAAGCAAATGAGCTGGTAACACCACCGTCTCCCCTTCCAGCACCTCTGACAGATCATTCAGGTTTAAAAGTATAGAGAGATTGATGCCTAGGAAGCTCTGCTTCCTACACATTTTTCAAGTGATTTTCCACATTCTCCCTTCTTCCTCTAAACCCCTGACTATACTGACACCTCCCCTTCACCCCAGCTAGACTGATAATGTGCTGTCGATCTAAAAAGCAATACATTCTGTAGCAAGAGCCAAAATTCCGACACAAAGGGAAGCAGGAGAAATGGTAAATATAGTGAGATTAACTTCAGCTCTAAGGTTGACCCCTGAGCTCCAAAATTCAACAATTTGCTCACAAGAGCTCAAATAGAAATGCTATCAGACTGACTCAATGACCAACCCGGATAAAGCCCCTTTTCCCTATCTCGTATCTCTAGTGAAATCTCTGGCAAGACACAGATTAAGCTGTTCTCAGGGGCAGCTCAGGCCGCTGGAGGCAGAAGGAAGATTCTTACACTGCTTAGAAGCTGAATTAGTCTCTTATTTTATCTTTCCCACTGGAGAATATTGGGATGCACCCTAAAAAGCAATCTCAGCCATGTTACAAACTAAACCACGGTGCACTGAAGAGATGATCTATCCAACTGAAGAAGAGATCTGCTCTTCAGGCGTCACTGGCTACCTGAAAGGGGAAAATTTTCCTGCTAAGAAATAACTTTCCCAAACAATCTGACCTCTTGAAAGAGGGTAGTCACCCAACAGGTGAAATATCAGAAGCACTAAAAGTGCAACCTAACTATAAAGACTGTAACAGCAATGATTTTCTAACAGTGCCTCCTGATCCATGACCTAACCAAGGTACCAGAAGGTAACCAGAAATGGAGAACAAGAGGCAGGATACGTTGAGTGTCAGATAGAGAAGTGTTGCAGGGAGATTTCCTTTACTTTCATGAGCTGTCGTCTTTGCTTCGTGTTTTCAGCCTCATGCAAGGAGAAAAGGTTTGGCAAGAAGCCTTGTTGCACGAGACAGCAACTCCAGTCCACTCCTGGACATCTGGAACGGTTAACAGCTGCACAGCATCCAGTGGACGCAGAATGATTACTGTCCTCCATTGTAAGCATAGTCGGCCTTGTTGTGCATAATCAACTTGTTGTCCACAAAGTAAAAGCTGTCTGAGCGGGTCTCGTATGGATTTTCAACCATCAGACGGACTGTGAAAGAGAAAGCTCAATTACATTCAAAAGCCTGCCACACTCCACTGGACAGCAAAAAGTCAGAGTAAAAAGGACGCTGTCACTCTGCTGGATTTACCAGGCTGATGCTCTGCCCTACCCAAGTAAAAGAGGCAAACTGCTCTGCTGAGCACGCTTCAAAAGCTCTGGCCTGCCCCCTCCTATTCTTCCTATTCATAGGACAAGCGCTGTCAAAAGCAAACAAAGGGGGACCAAGTAATCTCACACAAAACGACCACAGAAACTGTAGAGCCACCACTAGAGCAAAGCAGCAATCATGTCTGTAAGCAGAGAGGCAGCAACCCCCAAACGAAAAAGTGGCGGTACTTCCCACACATACACAGGCGGGGTACAAACTCTGCCTCCTCCCACACCTAGGCAGCCACAGAAGGGCCCACGTGCTCCTGTTCTATCCACCCCCTGAGGTCAAACATACCCTGCGCAATGTATATTTGCAGAGATCTTAGCAGGCTCAAAAACACGCCTCTCGGAGAAGAGCCAGTTCTGTTCCAAAGCAGGAGGCTCAAGCCCTAACAAGCAAGTGCTGAAAACAAAAGCGTGGCTACCAAAAGAACCCTTTTTCAGGGTTTTGTTATCTTCTGGGCTACACTGTTAGGCATCAGGCATGTCAGCCCTGTGACTCTGATCAGTTCTTGCAGCCTGTGACTTGACAACACAGGTTGTCTTGGGCTTTCATTTTCAAAGAAGGAGAATTTGCAGCGCAAATCTGTAATTCAGTCAAGATTACACACAGCTTAAACCACGAACGTCTATCTATTCCTGTCTCCCCCCACCACAGTCACAACTTCTTTCACAAGTAGAGAGAGGGAGAAAATGAGCATAGGCACACACACAAACAAAACACAACTCAGTGTGGGAAAGGAGACACTTACTAAGGTCTTCTGAGAGCTGAGGGAATTCATAAATGTGTTCACACGTGTTCCTGCTACTGGGGATGCAGAAGCCAAAATCAAAGTCAAAGTTCTTCAGCAAGCGATCTCGGAAGTAATGTCTCTCAATCATTCGAAAGTTTGACACTGGCTTTTCTCCCACTGTGAATTCCACTCTGTATGCAAAAAGTAGGAAAAAACAGCTAAGACGACATACCTCTCTTCCTATTGGGAAGAACAGAGCCTTGGACCCGAGGCTACACAAGAATCCAAGATCATTCCAGAAAGAGAGACTTTGATATTTGTAGTGTAAAATGGGTTCTCTCTAGTCTTTGACTCAGTTTCGTTATAAATTGTCAACTGACACTTCGTAGACATCTGATTCTCCCTTCTTTCTATGAACTCATACTCACGTTGCACCAACAGTCCGAAGACGGAGAAATGCTGGGGTGAACTGGTAACGAACAAAGCGGCCTGCACTAGCGTCCAGTTCGCTGTTGTCGTCTTCATCCTCGTCATCTTGCTCTAGAAAACACACCAGCTCAGAGTTATTCTGCTAATAGCGTACATAAGGTAATACGGGCTAGCGGGTGTATCAGGACAAGCTGGCTATTACTTAGGCACTGAATGTAAAAGTGTTTAATAATTGGTCTGAGACTCATACTGGTGCTACGTAATAAAGAAAAGATCAGCTATGACAGTTGGCGCAGCCTTGATGGCTCCGGAGCTGAAACCACCCTCAATCTCACAGGATATCCCCCCTTGCAATTGCCAAAGCACATGAAAGAAACTCTGTACCATAACCAGCCAACAAGGGAAGATGTGCAGTTGATAGTATTCCCCTATCTTAAGATAATCACTTCACATTTTTATAACAACAAGTTTCTCAGCAGAGGTAAACTCAGTCCTATGCTTAAAGGAGAGGAATTTAGTCACCAGGACATATCAAAGGACCTTTCCGCTTGGTTTGCATGCATCCCGCATTGCAACTTCTCAGCTCTCCAAGTCTCTCTAGCCTCCCTGCAATATTAGCATGACATACCTGAAGCAGATGGCTTTGCAATTTCAAACAGCACTGTTCCAGTTTCAAGGTCCCGGATCTTAAACCTGGTGAAGTCAATGTTGTAAATGTTGTCCTCAGGTTTGCATAAATAATCTAGAAGAGAGAGAAAACATATAGTAGCATTTCAAAAGATCTCTGAGCAATTACCAAAGGAATGTCTTTCTTTGTTAGCCCCAGCCCGTTAAAATATGTACTGCAAGTTGTTTTGCAGAAGCTTCATGAAAGCAGGACAAAATTGAGGCTAGAAGAAACAAAGGCACACTAGGTGCCAGGTAGCAGAGCAAGAAAGGGAAGTGATCGGGACAGAAAAGCGGAGATCAGCAGCCCAGAGGAAAAACAAAAAAAAAAGAACAAAAAAAAAACCCAACACAAAACACAAACCCCAAAACCCCAAACCACCCCAAACTTTCTGGAAGTTGTAACAGAGCCGAAGGCAGGAGCACACCGCGCTGCTGCACCCAGCGCCGGCCAACGCGCAGGCTCCTCAGCCGCTTCCAA